GCTAGGAGATTTGCAATGCCATGGTATAGGTTAAATTACTCTGACGTGAGCAGTTTTTATGCTGTGCAAACTATTTTGTGTACAACCTTGTTGATAAATATTTATCAATACAGATGACACTTGAGAACATATTTTATGTGTGGGCTTACGTTTACTCCTTCCGTTTGCTGGTTTGTTGGGTTTTGCATACAGGTCTTCAATACTCAGAGTGATCTGTACTTCTGTTGCATTGTTGCTTTTCTTCACCTTGTTGACCTTTGTATACACGTCTTAAATGGAGAACAAAGGTCATTTTAGTTCTCGTCTCCGAATGCATCTTAGGCATATATTCAAATATTGTTATTTCGTCTATGTTGATGAGAAAACACGTCAGAGTAAAATAAAACAGTTACTGTACATACAAATGTTGTGGGTGATACTATCATAGTTGGCACACGCACGCAAGCATACGCACACGCACACACACATACACACACACGAATAAGTGCATTGTGTGAATACAGAAGTGTATCACACTGCTTTCATCCATGTAACAGTAGAAACGAACTGCACATGATTGTCCCATCCTCCAACGCGAACTCTTAAACAGAAGCAGTCAAAAACAAGACTTAGTGTGACCCCTACAACGGCCGTAGCCGTCCTTATGGGATGGCGGATTCGTCAACGAGGGCTTGCCCAAGGTCTTGAAAGGTTGACTAATCTGCTATCACTCGTCTCCAATCTCTTCCCAGACGTGTTCGATCGGGTTCAAATCTCGGGAACTGTCATGACATCATCACAGGCGTTACAGGAGAAGTTGCTAACTACAATATGGTTGTAGCGTTGTCATGTTGAAATGCCAGTCCAGGGCCATGAACGGGGGCGGGGTTACGTACATAGTTACCGGGTAATCCAATCACAGGTAATGTAGATAAACATTGTCACTAGCCACATCTTATCAAAGGAAATCCATCACAAGGTATAACTAACCTGGCACCTGCTGCTTCTCTGCGGGTTTCTGACTTTCAGTTTTCACAAATCCGTGGTACACGACATTATCTTCCATCACTGAACATAGGAAATATACGGAATATAGGAATAAACATATGGCTTGGATCAGTCTTAGACTGTATGATTGTGTGTTTTAAAAATACATTGCAATACATAATCATGTTATATACGCAGGTGCTGATGTAATTATTATTGAATTATTCGAATTTCAAACAGACTAACATTTTTCATGCATATAAATACACTATATAATTGCTTTACCATACTGTCAAATAACGTGGGTGACACGTAACTTTATCATACGCGATAGTGACGTCATGTACAAAATATCGATACAAAAACATTGAGTGAATATTCCAGTAATATCACAGCGGTGGACACCGGGAATGGGCTTCACACATTGTGTCCGATGTGGGGAATCGAACCTGGGTCTAAGGCGTGACGAGCGAACGCTTTAACCACTAGGCTATCCCCACCTCCCTACACAAACATGTTACTGTAATGGATCTCTATATAAAACACTTCAACATTACACACTGTAGCCTACCTGGCACCTCTTGTTTCTCTGTTGACACCTGGTGTTCACTTCCGTCGACACCCTTGTCGGCATATTGTCTGTAGAGATCGTTATCTTCCATCACTTGAAGAGAGAACAAATGCACTAATAGTCTATTGAGATTTGCCAGATCATAAATAAATTTACGAAACAATATCATTGAGAAATAAATCTAGATATAAAGTATGTATTGACTCATAAATGGTTCTGATAAAAAATAATCATACCGACCGTCTCTCTTTTAGAATCCTCATTGAATCTCCCTTCTTTGCTGGAATATTCAAGGAACAGAATAATCACAAATATGTTATCTCGGTCAAAAAGCAAAAAGGTCCAGTTGTAATACCGTGGATGTATGGGATATGGCAATATGTCTTTAAATGTGTTTACCATTCTGACTGTATCAGAAGCATGTGTTTATGTATCACTGTTAATGAATGATACTCGTTCATTCGCGACAGGTGGGCGTTTCCTTTGCCAAAGGTGGCACCTATCACAGACCCATGCAGAGACACGATTGTCCTGTTTCGTCTCTAATCCTTTAAGGGGCTGTGGGGTAGCCTAGTAGTTACAGTGTAGTTAAAGCAAGTCACGCCGAAAACCCGGATTCGATTCCCTACATTGGTAAAATGTGTGAAGCCCATTTCTGGTGTCCCCCGCCGTCATGTTGCTGGAATATTGCTAAAAGCGGCATGAAACGAAAATCACTCACGCACTCACTCAAATCTTTTACAGAGACAAAGATGGAGCAAGCGTCCTATACCGTATCTAGCTTGATTCATGTTTACGAATAGGTCACCACCGTGTCTTGCTTGACGTTGCTGATTCCAACTACCACATATAGGTAATACTATGCATTCAGGTTAGTGTCGAGAAATATAACAACAATCACTTACCCGTGTTTTTCTTCCTTTGCATTTTCTGGAAAAAAATTAACAATTAAAGATGCAATCTTGATTGTGTTCAGTTCATACACACATCGCCAATGAGTGAGTTGAGGTGGGATTGCGCTTAGATTTCACCAAAAAGCTATGAGCCTTATATAAAATATGGAGTAGAAGAATGTTGGTGTGCATTTTATAATTTATTATTAATATTTACCTCTTCTTCTGCATAGTGTGCACAATAGTACAACGAAGATGATGACAACGACGACCACCACACCACCCACGGAGCCAGCGACAGCGTAGATAATTTCACCTGTATAAGTGACAGAAAGTACGATGACCCTTGTTTATTTCGTGACGAAAATTCATACGAAAAGCAAGTTAATCACGATTTATGCCATTGATCAATAAATCATTGTAGTCATTCTACGATAACAATATTTCATTGATTCCCAAAGCCTTGTATACGGGATGTCTCGATCGGATTATACAGACTGCATTACTTTATAGTTGATACCTACGTTTTATAGACTCCGTCTGGGCCGATGTCATCGAAACTGTCGTGATGGAACCTTGAGACATACAGGAGTAAGTATTTCACTATAGAATTCTGTATGTATAAAGTCGTAGTGTGTGAGTGCCACACTAATTTTGAATTCACTAAATCAAACAATACTGCGCGGTTGTACGGAAGCTCACCTCATTTGGGGCTCACTATCTCCTACGTAGGACTTAATGTTTCCTACGTAGGACTTAGTATCTCCTACGTAGATTAACTATCTCCTACGTAGGACTTAGTATCTCCTACGTAGGACTTAGTATCTCCTACGTAGGACTTAGTATCTCCTACGTAGGACTTAGTGTATCCTAGGTAGAACTTAGTATCCCCTACGTAGAACTTAGTATCTCCTACGTAGGACTTAGTATATCCTACGTAGGACTTACTATCTCCTACGTAGGGCATAATATATCCTACGTAGTACTTAATATTTCCTTTTTAAGGATGGTTATTTAGTTGAGAAATGTTTGGCTATGCAGGACGTTAGATAGTCGAAATGTGAGTCAGTGAATATTCATGACACTAACGCAGTGTTACTATACAGTGTTATTGTGTGTATATTACGTTAGGGTGACGTGGACCCTGTTCTAATTGCAGCTATGGAGGTTTGGGTATGGTTATGTTTAATCTATCATACATACATCTATTCACACACACAAACACACACACACACACACAGAGGTGGGTGGGATGGTTTGGGTGAGGTTGTGATATGAAACTCGGGTTATAACACGACCTCCGCAAGTTGTTGCTTGTCTTGATGGGGCTAGGTTGGATCGGATGCAACGCTCGTTTGCGGTTTTATTCGTAATTGTTTACAGGTTGACTTGACTGGGGCTGACAAGTGTTGAGTGCTGCGTAAAACAATACGAAATTCAAAAAGGCAAAGAATTGTCATTATAGTTATTTGTATAAATATAAGGGGATACGTACACATAGATTGCCACCGATAGTCTAAGACACGTCTGTACACGCAGATTATGATTCATGTGCAACGACCTCTGAAATATCCAATGCATAATAGTAAAGTGTAACAAAGTGCAACATATAACAGTGAACTAACTGCAACGCATAATCGTAGAGCAAACTGAACGCAAGGCAGTAAAGTATAACAGTCGGTCCAACACAGTACTAATGTGCAACAATTAGTTGAACACATGACTCTAATGGTGAAGGAAACAGTAGACTCTAATAGTAAATTGAAACACATGATAGTAGACTCTAACAGTAAATGAAACACATAACTGTAGACTCTAATAGTGAATGAAACGAATGACTGTAGACTCTTACAGTGACTGAAACAGTGAAACAGGAGATTGTGTGTGTGTGGGGGCTTTAAGTCGACCGTTTCAGATTAATCCATATACACGTATATCGATCATTTCCTACAGGAAATATTAAGTACTACGTAGGAGATACTATGTCCTACGTAGGAGATACTAAGTCCTACGTAGGGGATACCCACTTAAGAGATACTAACTCCTACGTAGGAGATACTAAGACCTACGTAGGAGATAGTAAATCCTACGTAGGAGATACTAAGTCCTACGTAGGTGAGAAACTATGTCCTACGTAGGAGATAGTAAGTCCTACGTAGGAGATACTATGTCCTACGTAGGAGATAGTAAGTCCTACGTAGGAGATACTAAGTCCTACGTAGGAGAGACTATGTCCTACGTAGGAGATACTAAATCCTACGTAGGAGATTCTAACTCCTACGTAGGAGATACGAAGTCCTACGTAGGATATATTAAGTACTACGAAGGAGATAGTTAGACCAACATTTTTTTTCACCGTGGCCCTACTACGCTTCGGTATCCGTACGATTGATATTATCTAAGTGTGATAAAATCAAATCACATACGATATGACAGGTGTATGATTATATATTGCTTATGCTTGAGTTCAAATCAATCAAAGGAGCACAATTGGCCATGACACTGTAGAGAGTTAAGTGGTCAGTGAAAGACGCATAATACGTTGCAAAGGATTGTCTAAACAAACACACCTGTATGTCGTACTCCAGTCGTCAATGTTGTACTATAGATCGCAGAGTTGGAATCTGTGGCGCTCTCGACTGTTGAAATGTTAAAATGTTTTAGTGTTAAGTATTAGTTTTAAGTTGAAATCTGTGACAACCAAGTAGTTTTACTGTCTTTCGCTGACAATTTTTTTTTTTTTTCTTATAATTTACCTTTATTTATTGTAAAATTATAACTTGTTTGTAGTCACGAAATGGCTGAAATATTGCCGATGTGACTTAAAATCTTAACTCACTCACTCACTCACTCACTCACTCACTACTCCTACTACTACTACTACTACTTCTACTACTACTACTACTACTACTACTACTCTTACTACTACTACTACTTCTACTACTGCTGGGGCGGTGGGGTAGCCTAGTGGTTAAAGCGTTGTCTCGTCACGCCGAAGACCCGGGTTCGAATCCCCACATGGGTACATTGTGTGAAACCTATTTCTGGTGTCCCTCGCCGTGATGTTGCTGGAATATTGTTAAAAGCGGCGTAAAACCAAACTCAGTCAGTCAGTCAGTCTACTACTGCTACTACATTTACTACTGCTACTACTCCCACTACTACTTCTACTACTTCTACTACTACTACTACTACTACTACTACTACTACTACTACTACTACTACTACTACTTCTACTACTACTACTACTTCTACTACTACTACTACTACTACTACTTCTACTACTCCTACCACAACTACTTCTACAGCTACAACTACTATTCTACTACTGTGGGGCGGTAGGGTAGCCTAGTGGTTAAAGCGTTCGCTCGTCACGCCGAAGACCCGGGTTCGATTCCCCACACATGCACCTTTTGTAAAGCCAATTTCTGGTGTCCCTTCGGAGATTTTGCTGGAATATTGCTACAAACTCATTCACACACTACTACTGCGATTGCAACTACTTATACTACTACCGTTAAAGACGATGAATGCTACTACTTCTACAACGAACACCACCACCACATCTACGACTGCTACTACTACCACCACTACCACTGCGACGACGAACAGTACTACCACTCATCAATTCTCAGAGAGAATTCCCAATTACCTATTTCTTCTGTCGTTTTGATTTGTACTTGTTTAGCAGACGAATAAACACGAATAAAAGTCAAATGCGCATCCAGCACTACCAAGTAAACATGGTATAATTCGTAGAAATCAACTGGAAATCACTATTTTGTTTGTAACAATCAAAACATAGATAGAATCAAATCACATAAATGTTATGACAGGTGTATGATTATATATTGCTTATGCTTGAGTTCAAATCAATCAAAGGAGCGCAATTGGCCATGACACTGCAGAGAGTTAAGTGGTCAGTGAAAGACGCATAATACGTTGCAAAAGATTGTCTAAACAAACACACCTGTATGTCGTACTCCAGTCGTCAGTGTTGTACTATAGATCGCAGAGCTGGACTCTGTGGCGCTCTCGACTGTTGAAATGTTAAAATGTTTTAGTGTTAAGTATTAGTTTTAAGTTGAAATCTGTGACAACCAAGTAGTTTTAACTGTCTTTCGCTGACAGATTTTTTTATAATTTACCTTTATTTATTGTAAAATTATAGCTTGTTTGTAGTCACGAAATGGCTGAAATATTGCCGATGTGACTTAAAATCTTAACTCACTCACTCACTCACTCACTACTCCTACTACTACTACTACTACTACTACTACTACTACTACTACTACTACTACTACTCTTACTACTACTACTACTTCTACTACATTTACTACTGCTACTACTCCTCCTACTACTACTACTTCTACTACTACTACTACTACTACTACTACTTCTACTATTACAACTACTACTTCTACTACTACTACTACTACTACTTCTACTACTCCTACCACAACTACTTCTACAGCTACAACTACTATTCTACTACTGTGGGGCGGTAGGGTAGCCTAGTGGTTAAAGCGTTCGCTCGTCACGCCGAAGACCCGGGTTCGATTCCCCACACATGCACCTTTTGTAAAGCCAATTTCTGGTGTCCCTTCGGTGATATTGCTGGAATATTGCTACAAACTCATTCACACACTACTACTGCGATTGCAACTACTTATACTACTACCGTTAAGACGATGAATGCTACTACTTCTACAACGAACACCTCCACCACATCTACTACTGCTACTACTACCACCACTTCCACTGCGACGACGAACAGTACTACCACTCACCAATTCTCAGAGAGAATGCCCAATTACCTATTTCTTCTGTCGTTTTGATTTGTACTTGTTTAGCAGACGAATAAACACGAATTAAAGTCAAATACGCATCCAGCACTACCAAGTAAACATGGCATAATTCGTAGAAATCAACTGGAAATCACTATTTTGTTTGTAACAATCAAAACATGTATCACAATTTATTCATTCTTGGTGTCGGCAAAGCTGTAGTGTTTAAACAAATGGATACAATTAGTATGTTTACCATCATAGACGTTTAAAATCACTTCCCATAGGCTGTACGTACATGAATGTAAAACCTATGAAAAAATGAAGGGATTATCATAATAAACAAAACAAATGTGACACTACGAAATATGTCGCCACAATAGCGGTAATCCACGTTACCGAACGTAAGTTGCAGTGTAAAAAGCATACATATTGACAAACATTAGTTTTGAAAGCTCTCAAGTTTTTACTGGATATATTATATGTAGAAAAAGTGTCATCTTGGAACACATCGTACCATATAAAACCGTATACAAAGAATATTAGTAGTTGTGTTAAGCATGAAAGCTAGGTTACCATTACTGTATGGAAACATGAATAATAGCTACCTATAAAAGTGATTAGAATGAATGCTTTGTGTTTTCATAGAGTAATAAAACCGAAAAGGGAGTGCAATATGCTTCCAGTCAAGATCATGGTAGTTTGCAAACAGTGAAAGTAATCTACATTATGAAATCTACGTTACCACCTGATATGGAATCTTACAAAATATTACTGGAGATAGAAGATTTCGCTTCGTAGCATTGTCAGAGAACCCAGGCATATAATTTGATAACCTACAACAGTTGCCACCGGTTGCTGTCACGTGATCGCAGCACTTCAGTGAAATTTCACGAAATTCAAATTTGGAAGGGAAACTTCATCTTTATTCGGGAAATTCCCTGTGAAACAGGTAAGAATGCTTGTTAATTAACTTTATTATAGGGATATAGTTTCACAATATTTCAAAACAATTGTTCTACTGTTGAGAATTTCTTCGGTAGAAGCATTTGGAAATAATCACTATATTTGGGTGTGGTTAGCCATCATTTCAAAAGTTTGACAAAAGTTGTATTCCGTAAAGCTTATATCAGTTCTGTTAATATCACATATATTTTTAGACATATTGATATTGACCCTAAACGTATGATATTTCGATCTCTTAAGAAAACTGCAATATATCTTTCACCTCAGTTTTGTACTCGATCCTCAAAGTATGGTAACGTAGATTGCAATGAATAAAGTGATACCTTCATAAGTATCACATGTTCCGGTAGCTGTTATGAATATTTTATCTATTGCTAATCAAGTAACAATAATGACTTTCATATATGGTAAGTTGTTGTAAAATCAGTCTATATGAGGACGATTATTACGCCCAATGAAATAGTTTGTAAGGTAACGTAGATTACAGTTTGGTAACGTAGATTACAAAAATATCATTGTTGAATTCTGACAATGAGCAAGACGCATGCCGAGATCCAGCGAGATTACAGACAAGGGAATAGGGAGAAAGAAGGAATGAATGTTATTCATGTGAACAAGTGTTTTTGTGCAAATCTGTAATCAACGTTACAAAGGCATTCATTCACAACCTGATCAATAATATTACCTTTCATAAATGCTGTTGTATTGTCAGTGAAGTTCATGATATTACCTCTCAGATGTCGATTCTTTTTGTCGACTCCTTTTGCGTAAAGAACTGCATCTAACAATATAACATAAAGTTATATTGTCAAGAGCTTTGACTTGATCAACTTTATTGTTATAATGATAGGAAACTCAACTGAGTGGAGAGGATGTTATATGTAATGCTGTTTCCTTAACGAAACACAACTTTGGGATTAACGACTGAACTTTGTGAATGATATCTCCCTTCAATGTGTTATGCAGCCATCATAAAGAACAGTCACGTAGATTACAACGATCGTGCAGGGTGGTATTGTATGAGATGTGATGGAAGTTTTACAAGCTCGCTTTGAGTGCTACAATTTCTGATTTTAGTTCGTGACACTTTCTTCAGTAAAACAGCAACAACAAGTGACAGAAATATTGTGTATGTTATTTTACGATTTGTGTCTTTCAAATTGGGCATTCTCTGTGAGAATTGGTGCACTCCTACTAGTATAACCGCTACGGCAACGTCTATGACTACGACTACAACCAAGACTTCAACTTCTCCTGCCACTACCCAAAGCAACAAAGCAAACAAATCAAATATGGAATCAATTGGAATGATACAGGTCAAATCTTCTATACTTTAAGTTACCACAGTCGAAACACTACGATTGCTTGTGGAACGGGGCCATGAACTCAACTGGAAGTCAAAACTCGAATTGCATCCCAGAACAATTTTGAGTAATCAAATCGGGAAATAAAGTCAACCTGTCTACCATAAAGCATCCTGTAACTTCCCTGAGGCATTGAATCCAACGATGCCAGCGCCTTTGACAAGAGCCTGTGCAAGGTCTCCGAAAAACAGGGCATATCCTAACGTTCCTAAAAGAATATTTCTCGACTTTGTCTTCAAACTCTTTCTGGGCTTTGCACATGTCATTGAACCCTAAAGCCGTGTCACATGATCTTACTATTAAACCCCGATTTTCCTCGTCCATAATCGATCCTTTACGATCCGTTTACATACACATGTTTTATTGCTGAGAACGACGTTAAGAAAAAACGAGTGTCATACGGCGGGAAATGAATCAAACAGAATCTATTTTAAGAGTACATACTATTTCTAAAGGTCTTCTCACGTTATGGTGTTAAGTATTATTTCGCTTGTACCTCCAGTGTTTTCTGTAATCTCCACAGTGACGTTATTGCTGAAACGACTCCCACTCCTGCACTTCCACACAGAGTCCTGGTCGAGAGTAGAGTTGATCCTGAGTGTCACGTTGTGTTGTAGGGGGGAGGAGCTGACAGTGACACGTCCTGCCACAGCGCGGGACTCATTGAATGTGGTGGTTGGGTTGAGTATGGAAGTAGATACGTCGGCATCACTGCTTGTCGTGAACATTTCAACATTGTTTCTGTACCAGATGGCACTTATAAAGTTTCCCCTCTCTGTGGTTGTACAGGACAATGAAACATCGACTCCTTCAGTTTGCGGGTAGCTTGTCAGACAGACAGATACTGGAACATATATATTGTTTGACCTTATTGTAACATCTTAAATTCTTGTACAGTATGATCACTTGACCACAACAAGTGGAACCCATTGTGCTTCACCCATATTTCAGACACTTACCTGACACCCCATCACCTGCACAAGAAAATACTCCAGCCAACAACGACATTGCCACCAGTGATGTTCTTATCTCATTGGAACGGCGAGAGGGTGACACCTGAGGATAGTAAAATAGAAACATAATGATCAAGTTGACAAACACCAGCCAGGAATTATTTAAATATTCCAAACGACAGCGACTTCGTGCACTTCAGGATATATCCATGTAAGTAAGGACAACATGGCAGACATCGACGTGATATATAGTAACCGACAAAAGGTAAGTATCGAGTCATTCTTATGAAATTTACGTAAGTACAGTCATTTGATGTGGAAACGTACAATGACATGGTAGTTATTTAAAGTACTGGCAATGAAGGCGGTGTCCTATGTCTCTTAGAAATTAACTTTAACTCAGTGAGTGAGCGAGTTTAGTTTTACGACGCAGTCAGCAATATTTCAGCTATATGGCGACGGTCTGTAAATAATCGAGTCTGGACTGGACAATCCAGTAATCAACAGCATGAGCTTCGACCTACATATTTTGGATACGATAACATGTGTAAACCGAGTCAGCGAGCCTGCCCACCCGATCGCGGGGTTAACGGTAGTGTTCACTTTTGAATACAATATATTGTAAAATATACTTCATGTGGGAATCTACATGAAACACCAGTGTAACGTTATTTCAAGCCAACATCACAATAAGATGCAACTGACGTCCACAATACCGACGGATGACATTAAAATATGTGTGGGCACGTTGAGGTAAAATCTGCGCAAGTACAGATTCGATTTTATGAACTCGGTAGTTTCTAACCCTAACGGGTCATACGTATAGGTACGACCGTCACGTTAACTTACCTTGTGAATAACCAAACTGCCCATGGTCATAAATTCATATCCAATACTCAGCCCAGACGTACAGACACAGCCATCATGGAGACACAGTCCCGCCTGTAACACCACACCAGGAACTGTTTC